CAGTCTGTTCCCCCCCCCCCCGCCCCAAATTCTCTGCATCCCTGGCCCTTTCTCTCCCCCTTCGATTTTCAATATCTCTCTGCGGTCCCAGCTCCAGCTGATGAGTAGGTTCCACTTTTCACAGATGGTGCCGAACGAACACATGGAACAACAGGCGGGAAAAAAAAGTGTGTGTTCCATTTCTCATGTCTGTAAACTGTCCCCGTTCAGGAAACAGGAGGGGGAACAGGGAGAGAGCAAGGAAGGAACAGACGCAGCCTCCCCTCCAAGCACTGAGCGCTTCTGGCCCTGCTTAGCTTCCTGCAATCAGACAAGGTGGGCTGGGTGCTCTAGGACAGTATTTCTCAACTTTGGCGGCTCTAAGATGTGTGGACTTCAACTCCCAGAATTCCCCAGCCAGCATCGAGACCAAGGTTCCTCAACCTCAGCAATTTTAAGATGTGTGGGTTTCAACTTCCAGAATTCCCCAGTCAGCATGGACCAGGGTTTCTCAACTTTGGCAACTCTAAGATGGGTGGACTTCAACTCCCAGAATGCCCCAGCCAGCATCTCTGGACATTACCTCCCAGAATTCTGGAGCTACCATTTGTGGGCTTCAGCTCCCAGAATGCATATTATTTTGTACAGCGGAGGAAGCCAACCACTTTGGGTCCCTTGTGAAATTCTGACAGCCTGGCGTGGGCGCACTCACAAAATGGCACCTTTGCCTTTTCACAAAAGAGCTGATGGGGTGGGCATGGCGCCCATCTACGAAGTCAACCTGCTGAAAGATGCTCTCATCTAGGAATGAACAGTGTTGCTAGTGCAAAATCTTTTTAAACCGTCGTGGGGGGCAGGATTCTTTGGGGGCATCAAGGGAGGCATTTAGGGGCCAACTGGGGCCCGTGAGCACCGTGTTGCCAATGCCTCCACCTGTCCTTCTTCTTGATACGTTGGTAATTCTCTTTTGCTGGTCGACGGCATTCCTGCTGCCACTTGCCATCGGGTTTTATATTAACAGCCAAAATGGAACAAATTTCACATGCCAAACTGTTTTTTTTCCCCCCAAGGAGGCATTCTTTGCTGGAATGGAGCATACTTGAACTATAAGCCTATAAACTTAAGAACGAAAATCAGCTGATGTCCACAATTCTGTACTGTGCCATTTTAGGGATGTTTGTTTCACTCCAGCGCTTACCTGTTTGGCTTTTAAAATACATTTCCCTGCTTTCTGCACAAATTGCTAAGATCCGCATGGGCCCTAAGCTCGGCCAGCAAAATGTCCCTTTTGTTTCGTGCAACGACTAGAAATCCATCTTGAATTTCACAGACGTTTTCTTCCCTTACCCAAGAGGTTTCTGTTTTCCTGCTTTGTTCTCGGGAAGCTTGAAAATTCCTTTCACATTTCTCTCCAGGTTGTTTTGGAGTTGCCTTGTGCGCTGGGCTGATGTTTTTGCCTTTTATTGTACTTTTTTCCCATCCCTCTGAAACTTCCTTGCCTGGTCACGCTTCCCCATCCGAAGAAGCATGGGCAATCCAAAACTGGGCCTTCATATCCGGCCTTGGGCCAGGTCAACGTGATTGCTAAATCAATGCAAAGGCATCCATTTAACCATCCTACCTGTAGACAAGTAAGGAGATGACCTTGGAGAAGTATTCAGTAGTCCAGTTTTTCACAACTTTGGGACTTTTAAGAGATGTGGACTTCACCTCCCAGAATCCCCCAGCCAGGATGGCTGGCTGGGGAATTCTGGGAGTTGAAGTCCACACCTCTTAAAGTTCCTAAGGTTGAGAAACACTGAGGAGGGAGTGAGGAAGAAACTCAAGATTGTCCCATCTTGATTTTCTTTAGTATAAGAAGGGGGATAAAGACCCTGTGCTAGGCTTTTGACTTTCTGTTATTATACCCGCCAACAATAGAGTTCCTTGTGCATCCTGTTTCCTGACCTGGCCTACCTCGCAGGGCTGACACTACCCCAGTCACCTGTGAGAATGTCACCAAAGTTCTCTCTGCCAGGAAGTTGGGAAGAAATTTCTCCTCCTCAGATTGGATGAAAAGTAATGGGAAAAAACAGTGCAGGAAAAACTGATCGTCACGCCTGTCCATGAATTAGTTCAACGGTTAAAAAAGAGTAGACGTGGAATTATTTCGGTAATGAATTGTTTTCCGTTCTAATAGAGAAATTCCTTTGATTCTGTTGTGAGCAAATATTCCCTCTGTCTCGGAGAAGGTATTAGGTAGAACGAGGGAAACGTAAACAAATGGGATGGAGATGAAGCTCGCCAGACATGGAAATAAAGCGTAAACCTGCCCGGTAACCATGAAAAATAGTGTATCTGTTGGGGGAAGGGGAAAAAATTGGAGATGGAATGGACTTTCTATAAAAAGGGCACACCTGACTGGCTGGCACAGTGTGTAAAACCATCTACCCCATAAGAATGTTGTTGCAAATGCTCCTTGCACTTCAGCCAGGAGGCCACATTCAAGTATAAAAAATAGGGATATTCTTGGCCTGCAGGACAACGGTGCTGCTTTGAGTTCATGCACCTATTGCCCGTTCAGCAAACGGGGAACGAGCAGAGCTGTGTTGTGTGCAAATGGGCTGCTTTCTATGACAGGAGACGTCGGATGATCAAAATGGGCCTGTTCAAAGTGGATTTCAGGAAAGGAGGAAGTCAGGTTCTGGAGACCTCAAGAAGGGGCTTCACGGAGACATCTCCTTTGCCCTCTGCAAGGCCCCGGGGATTTCACACGAAAACAGTCTCGCTTATGGCTAAAAGGATCAGTGGGGGAACTTGAATTAGAAATGCCCAGGGTGTCAGGGGGCCTAGGAATAATCAGAGTTCAGGATTTCAATCAGAGGGCCACGAATATCTCTGGGGTTGGGCAGTTAAGCGGATGGCTGTGGGAAGGGTCCTAGCATCAAAAAATTGGAAGAGGTGTTGCGCTCCCCAGTTGGAATAATATCAAATCTATAGCAGGTTGTTCAGCTACAGCAGTGTTCCTCAACCGTGTTGACTTTAAGACAGGTGGACTTCAACTCCCAGAATTCCCCAGCCAGCATAG